CCATTCCTCACGAATCTGTTCTCAACTCTAATGACATGCGTTTGTATCGCTATTCTTGCCGTCGATTTCCGCATCTTTTCGCGTCGTTTCGCCAAAACAGAGATCTATGGCTTCAGTCTTATGGACGTCGGCGTCGGCTCTTTCATCGCAATCAATGGCGGCTTCTCTCCGGAATCACGTCTCGGAGGATCAGATCCCAAGAATAAAGCCTTTCTTCTCTTCAAGAAGACATTCTACTCAACGATTCCACTCATTGTTTTGGGATTTCAACGACTGATTGCTGTTAAAAGTCTTGAATATCACGAACACATCACTGAATATGGTCTCCACTGGAACTTCTTCTTCACACTCGGACTCACAAAAGTGATTACATTTTATGTCTTATGGCCACTAAATACTCTAAACTTTTATTCCCTTTAATTAACAGCTATTTTCGACAACATTTTGCTGTTTATTCACAAACAAACTTAATATGGGTTTCTGTGGTTTAGTTTTGATTTCCTTTTACCAGATTTGCCTTAATTGTGGTTTAAGTGAATTCATACAAAATGATTACAGAATTGGTTTGTTTGCCGCCAACAAAGAGGGAATCCTTTCACTGTTGGGAAATATATCCCTGTATTTAGTTTTTGTCGAAATTGGGAAACACATCATAAATATTAAGTCTGTATTATATTTTCTACAATTTTTTATAAAACTTTTAAATTTTTGCAATTTTCTTTTAAAAGACATCAAATCAAATTGTGGTTTAAATTAGCGGTTCAACTGTTCATACTTTCGCTTATTTTCATTATACTAATGGATTTGAGTCACAATTATATTGAGAACACTTCCCGAAGAGAAGTCAACCTCTCATTCGTCTTTTGGATGATTGCATTGAATTCCATATTTATTGGACTCGAGTTTGCCATTCAAGCCCTAATCCATTGTCTGCAACACTTGAATGTCTTCTCATCGGATGAGTCCCACAGAAGTATTATATTCTCGGCTGTAGGCTATAGCGGAATGTTATTGTTTTTGGTGTCCAACCTTTTGACCGGTTTAGTTAACTTTACAATCGACACGATCTCTTGTTCCGATTTAACAGCTTTTGCTATTATCTTAACCTATTCTCTAGTCCTTTGTTTTATTGCCATATTTTGTTTTCAATACAAAATTCAGATTAAAATCCCAGTTAAACAAAAGTCTGAATAATTAAATGTATTTTTTAATAAAGTTGAGATTTATATAAATTACAATTTTTAAAGTTAGATAAACACACAAAATAGTCATATTTTAAACATTTAAAAGACATCAAAAATTATTTAATTATCACATTTACAATACATTTATAAGTGTATTAAAAATCTTAAGATCACAAATGTATTAATTCTAATCACAAAATGTGATAAACAATGATTGTGCGTAAGATTATTGTCAACATACCTTTCTGTGATTTAAACCATTTATTGATTTATATTCCTATAATTATTAATAATATATTTATCACAAAATTTGTTATATTTTTCAAAACATTTTTGTTACAACGATTAGGAAATGTATACTTAATATTTGATATTACTGTATATTAAATCCATAAAAATAAGAAATGAAAATTAAATGAACACATTTATCAAGCACATTTTTGGCAATTATCAATAACAAATAATAATGGTTTGCATAAAATAAAATTCTTTTCTATATTCTATTTGTTTTATCTCTGAATAACCCTGATTCATTTTATGGTTTTAATGCTCATTCAAAAAGTATTATTGTTTATTTGGTCGATATTTTATAGAGCATTTGACTTCATATTTGGGATCAATTATTATAATCAGTCAACGAATTCGCGCCAAATTGCCATAAAATAAGGCATAAGATTATCTCCAGATATTATGAGGACATGTTGTATGAGTTAATTGAGATCAATGTTTGGCTTCAACTGATGCATCGGAAAGACAGGGATGTAGTCGTTCTGACACTCGGCCTCAACTGATCCAATAGGTGGTGGATCTGTGTATAGAGTGGTAGGCGTAGGGTCTGTGGCCGGAATGGTCTTCCAACAATAGACACGGATTATAGCGATTATGAAACCGACTAAAC